GAGTTGATTGCTATTCTATGCTTTGTCCAATGATGATGGGTAGAGTTGTGACTTGGTCCTCATATGATTTATTCTTCCTGAATCTAACTCGTTTGGAATGCAGTTTTGCATCTAGAACATGTTTCAGTCTTTGCAGGGTGGATGAGGCTTACTACCTTGATTGGTGTGAGTAGGAAGTGATTCCACGTCAGTCCTTGAAAATGCTTGAGTAGTTTGGGAAGGCAGCATTTCTTCCAGTCAGTCAATAGCTTCCCTCCCTTTCATACTTTCTGATATATCCCTTGAGGTCTCTGGGTCCTTTCACAGTTCTTCCGGAGCAATTTATTCTGCTCCTGATGTTTATCAGCCCTGCCCCCTCGAGTAACTCTATTACTCTCAAGACCTTCAATTTTCTCTGAGAGTTGGTGTTCACTGCCAGTTATGTGACTAATGGTAGTATTTCTAAATGGGTTGTTGGTGGGAGTCGTTTCGATTGTCCTTCGAAGTGGTCAGTCCAGCGTTCCTTTTTGTATCCCTGTTTTGGTGATTGGGTTCCCTTCAATACTTTTCATTAGTGTCATTTGCATTGACCTTTTGCAGGATAGCGACCGGGTCATCTGACCCGGTTTCAGTTGCCTGTGTGTCGAAAAACTGTTTTTCTTCTCTCTTACCACTCTTCTTCACTTCTCTGTCGATTTCGCTGTAGATTGAACTCAGCTTCTCATTTTGTTGTTCATCGCTGCACTTTTTCATCTTCTGCTTCACCATCCCTCTCCCTCCCTCCCTGCTTCTGGGTGTCTGTAGAGTTCCATTCCTCGTCCCATCTTTTCTTTCTTCCTCAGAGGCTCGCATTTGTTTTGTGCGTCGGTGGCACAGTGGTTAGGACTCTCGCCGATCATGCACATGTTCCGGGGTTCGAGCACACGCCGACGCACACTTGATATCTATGGTCGGCCTGCGAATTTTGGGCTACCGATATCCACGCCGAAAATTCCATACTTATACCAAAAATAAGGTGTGGAATCAAGCTGTAATCAAAAATAAAAAATAAATAAATAAATTGTTACTCTCTTTTCCACATTCCTTTGGCGCTCCAGTGCCCTTCGCACCTCTGTAAGAAAGCAAGAATCCTGAGAACCTTGTTGAGGAAACTGTGCGAAAAATAACGTTCGAATAATGATATACATCTACCATACAGAAAAATAATGCGAAAAATAGAATACCGAGAATAATATGTTCTTAGTGGATGTTACACATACGGTTATAAAAAGAAATTTTGACTTATGTTGTGGGTGCAATGAAAAAATACTTATGTGTCTGAGAGATAAAAATATACAACAAGCGCGATAAATTGGGTGTATCGCATTATTTTATGTGAGATAAGTGTGAAGATATTCTGGGAATCTCATGGCTTGATAGAAAATTCGGGTGCCTTTGCCGTGCTAGCGATTTCTTCGAGGACTAACAGATATTCGGTTATTTTGAGAATACTTAGTTCGATGCTCATGGGATTGCCTACTAAGTAGGCCGGTTTCAGACTGTTGATACTAACAGAGTCTTCGCGGCCTTTTTGTCTAGGACGAAAAATTTATCCATACGTTTCATAACTTTTTATGGTCCATCGTATGGGGGTTCCAGAGGGCGACGGATAGAGTCACGACTAACAAAGACATATGAAGAAGTTTTCAACTATGGGTGAACAACGACGTATATGGAATGTAGTCGGAGGGAAGCAGATTTAACTGAACGCATTGCATTTGTAACCCTGCTGACGTACGAGGCACGACCTGCCGCTGGTGAGAAGCTAGAGGGAGAAACAAACTCACCTGGCAGTTGCAGTGTTGTGCCAGATACTAGCTCGGTAGCAGTAAAACCAGCATCAGTTTTCAAGGCATCTCGTATGCCTAAGAGAACTAACGGTAGTGATCCAGTCCAATGTACATTGTTTGCAGCTGATAACCTTCAACTGTTGGTGTAGACGTTCTGCCATATCAATAGCTTGAGGAAGGTAAGCCCTTGTTCTAAAACGCATACAATCAGGGATTTTAGTCAGGGCAAAGAATAAGCCGCTTTCGAATTGCCGCCTGCGATAAGTTGTTATGGAGGATCGGCATCCGAAACCTGCGACCCATTGTCCGACAAAAGTGCGTACGAGTTTTTCGGCAGACACTAGGTATTTAATTTCAATCGTGATTCATCTGCATCTTCTTTGTTGCTGCTGAACCTGGCCTTGCAAGTTCTTAGCAATATATTGTATTCCCAGCGTACGTCTGCTTCTCCTCTCAATTTTGTGTTTAGGAAGCTGCATCCTCACTTTCTTGAGATGGAGATGAAGCCAGTCTGACTTCTGGTGTCTCCTTCAGGTGAAACCCATGTTGCCATGTGTATATCCTTGTGCTTTCACATGCCGCTTTCAGTCGCCAAATCGTTGAAGGCACAGAAGTCTACGGAAAGCTCTACGATCTCAATCGTTTCGTCAAGAACCTTCCAACCCATTATGAGTTATCTTCGTATGTTGTTTGCTGCTAGTTTAACATTATTATCACTCATTACGACTTTGATATCTCCGCTTGGTGTCTTGTCTAATACCGCTTGCAGTTATCTGTAGAAGTCTTCCTCCTTCACCTGTTCTGATTCGTTTGTGCGCACGTAGCATTGGATAGTTGGAACTTTCCTTCCTCTCGAGTTAGATCTTGCTGTCATTCTCGTGGAAGAGATTGGTTTCCAATGTATAAGAACCTTCGATGCTGCTGGTGACTTTATGATAACCACTGCCTCAGTGTGCCTGTGGTTGTCATCTGGGTGATATGAGCAGTTTATTGGCTCTCCAATTAAGAATTTGAAGACTCTATATCCATTCCGTTTGCTCCCGAAGATTCTCAGCATTTCTTTCTTGTGTCTTCTCATTTTTTGTGCAATCTTCTTTTCCTGCACGGTCCTTGGGGTATATTTGTACTCTTCTCCGCAATTGAATTATACTTTATTTCGAATATAGGGAATTATGTAGATGTGTATCGTTAGTGTTCGCATGCACAATATTTCTTAAATAAGATGGCAAGCAAAATGTGTAGAAATTTTTATAATCATTGAGTAGATGTGGGACGCATCTGCGAGATCAGGGTCAGTGACTTCGTCTATGTCATTCTTATCGATGCCATACCACGTCTTCAACTTTCTGCAGGTATGGATTCCTAGAGTCTCCAGAACGCCAGTCACAGTCCATATCTCATTACGTGGCTGAAACTCACAGCGAAATGCTTCACATATTGTTGGTAATTTTGTTTTGACCATCATAGTTTCTTTTCTAATAAGGCACGATATCAGCTAACATCGCTCTACAAGGAATGGCAGCCACTTTATATATTTTCCGGAGGTCACAAAAGATGAATACTCAGAATGAGTAGTACCCATTACTTGCTGTGGCTTATTCCAACTTTATATACTAGTTTTTAGGTTCTGTCACCGAACTTAGTCCTGACGCTAGTAGTATCATCAACAAAATTTTTCTCACCGTAGATGAAATTTTCTGCGCAGACATTTTAGTATTGTGAATACCAGGAAGTCGGAAGGACAGGTGAGCTATATCTAAATTTTTCCAAGGACCTAGAAACCTACGCATAGCACTTTAACCTTTAGACTACCCACCAAACACCGAAGTATGGCAGCCTGGTTACAAGGAAGTAATAGTCACCTCCGACTTACAAGAGTGACCTATACTATTTTGAAATTGCAGACATTTTAGTTTTGTCAGTATTGGGGATACAACTTTTGAGAAATATGGCTGTAGCCTACTTAAAATGATTTGACATGCTATCCTCCACAGAAAATTACTTTTAACTGGCATTTTTCCCCTGTCAATTAAAGACGGATTAAAGACCAACTTCAAACTCTCCGTGAAGTGTGCTAGAGGGCAAGGCAAGTAAGGAGCACTATACGGTCGTTAATTATTTATTAATTTTACTAAAAACTCCTTAATCCGTCAAAATCTATCATGGTTATCTACAGTAGTGAGGCAAAAATGTAGAGAAAACTGAAGTAGAGAGCGGTATATACACTCTGCAAAGCACCTTAATAATTTGTTAGACTTCAAAGTTCCAAAGATTCTTGGTGTTATTCATTAACTGCATAAAGGTGAACATAAGATGCTGCATCTCATCCCCCAATTTCGTTATAAACAGCCAGAGGTACTAGTCATAGTCAAAGTAATCCTAAGAGACGTCCATAAACCTAGCATGTCTTCTCTTTTCTTCCTAAGTGAATTAAGACAATTCAGTGGATACAACTATCGAATACAAAAGCGAAGCCTAGACTATTTTACCGTAGCGTTCTGGTTCTCCTAAAGAGTTTTTGACACCCGGAGCTGAATTTCATAAGAAATAGTCTCTGTTTTTTCAAATATTTCGTTTGAGAGGGGTTAAAGAACACGTCTGTTTCTGATAAGGAAAGGTGAACACTAAATTAAAGCCTTCTATTAGTAACCCGACAACTGGATCTGGAACGAGGACAATAGGCTTTAGAAACTGTACTGCTTACTGAATAGGACACTGATTTTTTAATGAGTCATCTTTATGTAGGAAGATTTTATATCCAACATTTGTATTTCATACAGAAACACTAGTACTATTAAATCACTAAGGTGTTTCACTCTAATACCAACTAGAATTCGAAAAACGCACAGTTTCGAGGTTTTTCGGCTTCACATACAGTTTAGTGCATCTGCAAAGTCAATTTAAGTTTTGCTGCGAAGACTCTAAAATAGTAAGGACGATTGTCCGTACACTACTAAAGACTTGACATCAGACTGAGTTATACATGATGTGTTTTAAAAGCCTTTTGATGATGACAGCATATTTTAGCTGAAGTCTTGACCTTAATAGTTTTACCAGGCAAACATCTGAACACATGTAGGCTCTATAGTATATATATATATATATTCTATCTAAATAAGCAGATTAAGTCAGCAAAAATTTCTCCTTCCATAAGACCCTAACACACAACAGTCTGTGATAAATATTAGTCTTCTCAGTGGTCTTGTAGCCTGGACTACAAGTGTGGAAACTTGTACATATGCACTACCTTAATAGGTAGTCAACATAAATTAGCTAAGTAACCTAAACAACTTCAGATAAGACATTAATAAGCTTTATTCACACAATCAACGACTGCTTTACATAGTGGATCCAATTCACCATCGCTCCCTGAAAAGGTCACTAGTGTGTTATTTCAGAGCACATGTACATACCAAACTGAAAATCCAAGACCTTGCAGCGATAAACAATTTCATCATTGACTTCAATTTCTAATATTTCATTGAAATCCTCTAGTTCGTGTAAGTAGGCGGTGTGTCCTACTTTTGATAACTGTTCTACAACTGCTCGTGAACCCTAGAAATTGGGAATGTACCCTGCAAACCCCTTAGGCGGAGATCTCTGTTCATGTATATACCTGCCACTGGGTATTTTCCGTGCCATATATGAACTTCTGCATTCTTTGGCATTAAAATATGAAGACAAAATAACTTATAAGAAACCGTAACATCCACGTTCGAAAAAGTGCGAATCACCATGGTGATGAACATCCAATATATCCAATATCCTGATTACGAGCTAGTATAAACTAGTGATTTCTTTGAGCTCGCTTCTTGATTGTGAGGTAGAGGTTCCAGATCTTCGGTGAGCTTCTGCGTAGTAAGTCCCGCCACTCGACTGCTTTAGCTCTGGTAGACTCCAGGAGGAGTGGTGCGGGGATTGGTCGAGATGTGGTTTGTAGTATGCAGTATGTTAGGACTGTATTGCTGCCGTGAATGGAGTTTGACCTAACTCCCGTTGGTCATTCGGTGTAGTCATAAAAGCAGAATAGTAGTAATAATAATAATAAAAATAATGGGTTGTAGTGTAGATAATATAGGTTGAGATAAGTGGAATAATAAAGGTGACCTAAGGAAAAGATAGAGTGAGAGAAGGCAGAATAGGTCGTGGGGATTTAGTTTGTACGCTTATCCATTGACAGTGTGGTTTCAAGTTTTATGAGGATAAGCCATTGAGACACAAACCTTGCATTTCTGCATGATTGTCTAGCTTCCGCTTAAAAATCTCCAGAGATGGCGCTGTAGTCACGGCCGCCGGTAAAGCGTTCCAGAGACGGCAAACACGAAGCGAAAAGAAATGTGATCGCACTCGAGTCTTTGGTCTCTGGTGTGCTATCCTTAGCGGGTTACCTCGTGGAAGCCTATAATCGCTTAATGGCAGGATGCTTTTATTTGGGTGGGCCTGGTCATTTAGGATTTGGTAGACGGTGATGAGGTCTCCCCTGTGCCTACGGTAACTAAGTGTGAAAAGACCTAATTTCTTTAGTCTTTCCTCATATGATTTGTTGCGGAGGCCGATCACCCATTTTGTCGCTCGTCTCTGGACACTTTCTAGAATGTTAGCATCCCTTTTGAGTAGCGGAGGTGCAATGATATTATGCACCTCAAGGTGTGGCCTCACATATGCCTTATATAACCTTAAGAACAGTTCGGGAGTGAGAGCTCCCAGCTGCCTATGCATAAAGTGTAAGTTGCGTAGGCTTTGGCGACGTCCCTCGAGTAATTTCCACTGGTGTCTAGCTTTTCTGTTAGAATAAGACCTAGATCTCGCTCTGATGGAACACAACTCAAGTTCTGGCCACCAAGGGTGTAATTTACACTCTGTGACCTGCCGGAATGAAGTTGCACTACTTTGCACTTCTTTAGGTTGAAAGGCATTCCGTTAGCCAGAGCCCAGTTTCCCAGAGTTTGCAGGTCAGCCTGCAATCTATCTGAGTCTTCCGATGAGTTTATTGCTCTCCAAATCTTTACGTCGTCAGCGTAAAGAAGCGCAGAGCAGTTTAGTTGGGTGGGCAGGTCGTTGATAAAAATCAAAAACATCAACGGCCCTAGGATAGAACCCTGAGGAACCCCTGATGCCGAGGTGTGCCAGGATGATCGGATGCGGTTGACTTTGGTGCAGAATTCTCTCTCGCCTAAGTAATCCTTCAGCCATGCGAGAAGTGCTCCAGAAACACCCGCCTTGCTTATTTTGTGAAGGAGCAGACCATGGTGAACTGTGTCGAATGCTTTCGCAAAGTCGAGAAAGATCACGTGGGCTGGTACCTTTTTGTCCCAGGATAGTGTCCAATCGTTCCAAGCTAGTAGAAGATTCGTCACGCAGGATCTTCCCCTCCTGAAACCGTGCTGTGCTTCGTGAAGAAGGTTAGTCCCATCGAAGTATTTTCTCATGTGGTCGTCAATGAGACTTTCCAATATCTTCGATATCACTGGAAGTAGAGCAACTGGTCTGTAACTGGTCGCATTCTGCCGGTCACCACCCTTGAAGATAGGGGATAGGATTGCTCGTTTCCATTCACATGGAAGTTTCCCTACATCAAGGGAGTGTTGGAACAGATCACTTAGGGGTTGGCAGAGACTTTCTGAACACTGCTTCAGGACAGATGGTCTGATGTCATCACAACCTGAAGACTTTCCCGAAGCCAACCTTCCCAATTTTGCAAGTACCATAGCCGGGGTAATTTGAAATGTACCCAGCAGGTTTTCGCATGTTGGTTTTGCGATGTAATCTGGATGTTCTGTGGGGGTAATATCCTCGTTACTGTTTAGTTGCCTGTGAAAGGCTAGGCTGAATGTCTCTGCCATTTCAAGACTAGTAAGAGATTTCCCATCAGAACCCACTAGATTGCATGCTCCCTGGTTGGTCGGTTTTCTTTCGGACATAAACCTGTATAGGCTTTTGGGGTTCACGAGAAGCTTATTGGCGAGGTCTCCCTGAAATGTCCTTCTATCGCTCCGGACTCGTATGTTACATCGATTCCTGAGTTCAAGGTACACTTCATGTTCGGGTTGACTCTTCGATCGTCGCCACGCGAACCAGGCTTTTCGCTTTGCCTGCAGAAGGCGTTGTGTCCCCCTTTTTAGCCATGATCGTTGCTTCCTAGCTTTTGGTGTGACTAAAGGAACAGTGTCTGAGACCGCCTGGTGAATGATCTCCTTTACCACTCTCCAGTGTTCTTCTACTGTTAGCTCTGTCCATTTTTTAGGCCAATTTGCTTCAGACAGAAGTCTTCGCATTTTGGTGTAGTTGGCTTTGTTATAACACAGATAGGGCTGTGTATTGTCCCACTGTAAGCGCTCGCGGAGGACTATGTCGAATACTATGACCGCGTGGTCACTACTACCTATGGGAGTCGTGATCTGAACGTTTTCCACTAGTAGCTGGTCACTAGTGAGCACGTAATCCAGTCTAGAAGACTTCCCATCAGGGCCCCATCTAGTATCCATCTTGACATTTTCAGTGAATCCAGCCTTCCTGATGGTATGCAGCAGATTTCGATCAAATCTATCATGGGCTTTTCCCGACACCAAGTTAAGAGATGGGGCATTGAAGTCACCAGCTATGACAATTTGATCATAACCCATGTCTTGAGTTGCTGAGATTGTATTTAGCAGTACCTGGTTGTGGTCTGCTCCACATGAAGGTGATCGATAAATGCTGCCCACTAGATATTTGCAGTACCCAACGGTGAAGTGGCACCATATGGAGTCAGGGAGCTCTGTGAGGGGAGGGTCCATCGCGTGAACACATCTGAGCTGTTTGTCGACGTATATGGCGACTCCACCTCCTTCTTTCAGGTCCCTATCTCGCCTGACTAGGACCATATCATTTATACTGACTTCGCTGTCTGCCACCGTAGGGGTTAGCCAGGTTTCCGTCAGTATTATGATTTTGGAGTTCAGTTGTGATTGTAGGTGTCTAAGTTCAGCTATTTTGCCTCTTAGCCCTCTCACATTACTGTACAGGCAACTGGTAGTCAGTCTCACCACTTCCCCGTATTGGGGGGTAGTTGACTTGATATTGGCTATCGGTTGAGGAGTTATCCTACGAACTAGTTGGCCGATTCCCCAGGAACCGGCCTGTTGGCGTTTTTTTCTTCTAGTTCAGTCGGAGCACTCGGATGACACTGGCTATCATCGTCCGTGCTGCACCGCTGTAGTGTGACTAGGGGTTGAGGATTTTTTTACTACGCTTTGTTCTCTCCTTTGAGTGCGAGGCCGGCTCTCGCAGCAGCGAATGTGTTTGCTGACCTTGTCCTTGGTCTCGTACCATCTATGGAGAGCGGTAGTCAACTGGTCTTGGGAGCTGAACTTGACAGCTAACAGACGTGGCGAGTTAATTGACATAAGATGAGTGGGTCGCGGCAGTCTATAAATAGAGACAGCCTGTCAATCACGTCTCATAAACCGTTAATGCCCAGCTCTTGCTACGCTCGGGCTCACGCTGTTCTTCGAAGATTTCTCAGAAACGCTTAGTTATAACGGACGCAAAAACCAAAACACTGATCTGCCGCTTGAGATTTATTTTATTCTTACACCAACATATAAAAGGAATAAGCGAACTAAGGTTTCCGACGATGTTTCACTCTTCTTTCTGAACAGCGACCGATGAGACGATGACTGTCGTATTGATGCCTCCGCGAAAATTGGGGAAGTTGATTTTAAGCAAACAACCAAGAATTGATCGTTCAATCTTCAACTCCATTGACACTCCCCGGCAAAAAAGGGATCCATCCCTTTTTTCCTTCACGACCAATGCACGTTGACTTGGATGCCATTGCGAGAACCTGGGTCACACGGACAGAGCTGAAATGGAAAACAAACAGAAAAGCCAACACACCACAAGCATACCCACAGCACAATCTCACACATCGCTGACGACCTGCGCCTCCAGACAGAGACCTCCTCTTGACATCTTGCAACACAATCGCCACTTACTAGAATGACTCTTGCAGAATGCAACCTAACCATAGCAGCACCTCATGATACTCTTCAAGCATCCTCTTTTCTATTCATTATCAATTATCACTGAAATCGCTTGTCACTCATTCTGCCTCAGTTCTAGTAGCGGTGACGCATGCGAGCCTCAGTCGTTTACACTCCCGCTCCCCAGCGTGTCGGACCGCAGCTAACAATTATCTCCATGTGCATTTCATTCTCAGCAATAGCCTAGCCTCCCCGGCGTATACGCCCCATCTGCTGTCCTTAACATCAACCAATTCATTCATGGATGTAGAAGACTCGAAACAACTTCAGAAGTAATCACGACGAAAATTTTAACAAAATTACGCAATAACAACAAGATACGAAAACAACAAGTAAACACAATGAATCCAAAATACACCAATTGATATGACACACCACACGTATATACAAATAGTACAAACAACCTCGCCGATCATCTCTTGGTGGAATTCCTTTGAAGAATCGCAGGACTTACACCAGTACGCCTACAACCCTTCTCAGGTTGACGATTGTAATTTGTGGAATGTAAGGACACAAACAAGATTAACCAACAATTCCATCAATTGGATCTCACACAATTATTTAACACAAACATATGTACAATCAACACATCAAATGTTGTGCATTCTGGCACGGCAGACTACCCTTGAAGAACTGTAGGACTTACAGCAGTACGCCTACATTCCTTCTCAGGTTGATGATCCAAGTGGAAGTCTTCCGGACACAAACAGAATTACCAAAAGCTAGATGACAGATGATATCAATTCAGTAT